CACATACACACAGACAGACATGCACACACACACACACAGACATGCACATACACACAGACAGACATGCACACACACACAGACAGACACACACATGCACGCTCGCATGCACACACACAGACAGACATGCACATACACACAGACAGACATGCACACACACATGCACGCTCGCATGCACACACACACAGACAGACATGCACACACACACAGACATGCACATACACACAGACAGACATGCACACACACATGCACGCTCGCATGCACACACACACAGACAGACATGCACACACACATGCACGCCTCGCATGCACATACACACACAGACAGACATGCACACACACACAGACAGACATGCACATACACAGACAGACATGCACACACACATGCACGCTTGCATGCACACACAGACAGACAGACATGCACATACACACAGACAGACATGCACATACACACAGACAGACATGCACACACACACAGACAAACATGCACACACACATGCACGTTCGCATGCACACACACACACAGACAGCCGCACACACACACATGCACACAAACAGACAGCCACGGACACACATACAGACACACGCACACACCTGTACTCCTATCTTTCTGGGGACTCTCCATTCAGTTCTATGGAGAAATCTCTAATCCTGGCAATGACAACCTTAACCCCCACCCAGCCCTAACTGTAACCATAAGTAACAATTTTGGCATTTTTAGTTTTTTTATTGCAGTCACAGATTTTTATCAAATTGAGTTACCGAAAAAATGGTCCCTCAAAATAACTGGTGTTTATCACATTGTGGGGACATTTGGTCCCCACAATGCAATGTATACCTGGACCACATACACACACACACACGGCATGTGAGAAACAGAAACACACAGCATGTCTTTAATATTCCCTGTATGTTCACATGATCACAGAATGAAAGTATTCTTTTGTATGTTTTTGCATATCACCGTGAAATCAGCAGGGGCAGCATTAGATACAGTTTCCTCAGTTTGGAGTGTTTTTTTCCAGAAATATATTTGGGATCTTACAGTAATGTCAGTAAAATGTCCTGTGATCATTTTAATTTCAGATCCGAGACTTCTCCAAGTCCGCCCCTGAGCTCTGTTTTCTAGATTGAACTGAGCCCTAAGAAAAATGCGAAAAACAGTCGCAGAAAAACAAAACTCGAACGGGGAACAAAAGAATGACAGAAACCACTTTCGGGACCCGTATTTAGACTGTGGTCAGGGTTGCTAGGGAACAAAGAAGGAGCGAAAACAGTGATTTATACATTTTGTGAGAATAACAGACAGGTCATGCGTAACTCCCGTTACCTGGCCTCTAAAGACAGCTGGGGGTCACACCCCCCCCACACTCTTACCCAGCAGTCCTTATTCACCACTATCTTATTTTGACACTTTTTGTCCTCCACTTTTATCCGAACCTCCTCTCAGTCACTGTCCTTTGTCTCTGTGTTTTTCTTCGTGTGACCGTCTGTCGCCAAGGTTACGCACCGGTGACGGGCATGTGTCACCCGGTACGGAGCTGCACCCTCAACCACGAGGACGGCTTCTCCTCCGCCTTTGTGGTGGCACACGAGACCGGGCACGTGTGAGTAAGCCTGTACACACACACACACACACACACACGCCCGAGGCCGAATGGTCCTGCAGTCCAAACAACGGGTTGTAATTCACCTGCTTATTTTGTCTGTATGCCTTATTTATAGAATATGCTGCTGTTCATATAAATGATGCTTTATTTGTCATTTGCACAAGTACAGATACAATGGAACGCTTCTTTTCGCATATCCCATCATGCACTGCTTCGAGACGAGCACATGCACACACACATATATAGAGTTGAGAGAGAAACTTGGCGTCTGAGCACAGGGTCTGGCTATTTGGAGCATTTTTGGGGGTTAGGGGCCTCGCTCAATCCTTGAGCCCCACACTGCCACCCCATGATCATGTATAATTTAAGAATCAACATCTTTTGTAGGCCACGAAAAGCCCCGATTGGGTAAAAGCAGCAGTTACCCTCCTTTATGCCATTTGTGCCGGAGGGCCTTAGATTTTAGGCGTCACGTTTTCCAGCTGACTGACTGATTCGTTAAGTTCCACATCCGGTGTTAGTCCAGAATGGGGTGTTTCCGTCTCGCCCCGTCCTGGTTGACGTTCAGTCACGCGCAGATATGCACTGCTCTCGCGTGGACGGAAGTTTCCGGAATGATGGTCATGTACCCACGGGCAGGCTGGGCATGGAGCACGACGGACAGGGCAACATCTGCGGGGACGAGGTGCCCATGGGGAGCATCATGGCGCCGCTGGTGCAGGCCGCCTTCCACCGCTTCCACTGGTCACGCTGCAGCCAGCAGGAGCTCAGCCGCTACCTCCAGTGAGTCCCCCCCCTCCCCATGCCCCCCCCCCACCTGACCTCTGTTATCCCCGAAGGACAGTTACACCCCCGCCCCACATTCCTCCCCACTGAACTCTGGGTCAGCATCCGGATGTTATTTCAGGTGACACCAACAAAAGATGCAGAAATCACTCAGCTATTCATGAAGATAATTCTGGGTTTTAGGTGACATTAATGGCTGCTGTTCTTCATACAGTCAGAACATTAGTCATCATTAATTAATGTCAGAATATTAATTAATGAGTTTGACCAATGATCTTAGTACTATATTAGTACATTTTTATATTACATTTTCCTGTATGAGGCATTGAGCTACTTTTTACATGTTATATTTACCGTTTATATTTTTAATATTAATATTTATATATTCATAATATTTATCTTGTGTCAAAGATAGAATTTTTGTTTTCCCCTTATTGTGCATATTTGATTGCAAGTAGTCCAGTTATTATTATGCCAGAGGTGTTTGTCAATTTTATTTTATTTTTTTATTCTTGCTGACAATATAGTAGGTTTGTCAACAAAAAGTGCTCATTTAAAATGTTTTTAAGGGTGGAGTCTTTAATATGAAATGCTTTTAAACAAAGTTATGTTAAACTGGCATACTTAGAAAAATCAGTTACAAGCACAGATCAAATGGTCGCAAACACAGAACAAACATCAGCAAGCACACAGCAAACACTATCCAGCACCGAAAAAACATGATCACGGTCACAACAAACATTAGCGAACACATCAAACATCATCAAGCACAAAACAAACATTAGCAAACACAGATCAAACATCAAGCACAAAACAAACATTAGCCGACACAGATCAAACATCATCAAGCACAAAACAAACATTAGCAAACACAGATCAAACATTAGCAAGCAGAAAACAAACATTAGCAAGCAGACAACAAACATCATAAAGCAGAAAACAAACATTAGCAAGCAGAAAACAAAACCATGGGAGAATTCCACAGGGGAGGCAAATTTCTCTACAACAGCAATAAGAGCTGGCAGGTGAGTGACACCGCTTTCATCCTGCAGCTCCTACGATTGTCTTGGGGACGACCCTTTCAACCATGACTGGCCCTCTCTACCGCGGCTGCCGGGGCTCCATTACTCCATGAATGAGCAGTGCCGCTTCGAGTTTGGCATCGGCTACATGATGTGCACCGCGGTGAGTGCCCTAGGTTCTCCGGGCAACCCCTCGGTTCTCCAAGAGACGCCTCCGCTTTCGGGTTCCCTCTTGCAAGGAGACCCAAGATGAGGGTGTCGCTAGACCGGCGCACATGAAAAATTTAGCACGTCGAGTGGCTCTTGAGGTCATACATTAGTTAAAAGCTGAGGTTTCCAACAGAATGAATGATGATGTTGATCTAGGGGCAAAAGTGAAGTTGCATGTTGATGTTTTTCGGTTCACTGAGCATTTCAGAATTAAGTATGTGGGAATAATGTTTGTTTGTCTGTGTGCTGGTTGGGGGGGGGGGGGGGGGGGGGGGGGGGGGGGGGGGGGGGGGGGATCCCCGCCACCATCCGCGACACATACACCACGTCCGGCCGCACAATCCTGAAATCTCGCCCCACCACAGCATTGCTACAAAGGCCACTGCATGTGGCTGACTCCGGAGATCCTGAAGCAGGATGGACACTGGGGGGCGTGGAGCCAGTTTGGATCGTGCTCTCGGAGCTGCGGGGGCGGTGTGCAGTTTCGGACCCGGCAGTGCGACAACCCCGCGTGAGTGTGAGGCCCAGCCGGGCCTGGCGGCTCTGCCATTGTTTACTTCGCCGGTCTCTGTTCGGTCCCGCGTCACATGACCGCGGCACATTTTTAATTATTAGTAAACTCCGCACCACGGGTGCTAGAGCCGTTTCCCACACTGCAGCCAAACTCTGAAACACTGCGCCCTCTCACATCCGTCACCTGGACACTGTAACGCAGTTTAAAGCTGCCAGTAAGACTCATTTCTTTAGGCTGACATGTTCGCTTTGAGTCCATCCACTTGAAAGCTTGTGACTTATTGCTTTGTCATGTCTGATTTTATCGCTGTCATGGCTTTGTTTCTTGTGGATGATTCTTGTGACCTTGTGTGTCCTTAAAGGTGACTTTAAATAAAATATATTATTATTATTATTATTTATTATTATTATTCTCCTGCTCTCAGCTTTTCCCAGAGGTCACTGGGTAGTCTGTGTCCCGGGCAGCTCTTGGAAGTTTTACTTACATAAAAATGTTTTGAGGCCAAAAGGAAAAATGATTGGTTCAGAGAGATAACCAGTCAGATTGTAGAGGAGGTGTGTCCAAGTAACTAGAGGAGGCGGGACCAAGACATCTGATTGGTTCCGCCTGCCTCCTCTAATTGGTTGGACCCCTCCTCTACAATCTGATTAGTTATCTGAACCAATAATTTTTCCTTCTGCTCCCAGAACATTATTATGCAAGTAAAACTCCCATGAGATGCTGAGTAGGGACCAGTACTTAATGCAAGATGTGAGCAGTTCCCATCAGTGTGATCTTCTGTACTTCTTGGGTTGTCTGGTGACCAGGTAGTGCTTAAAGGTTCTTGCCAAATTCTTTCTTGATTGTGCGAAGAGCTTCCATCACTACCAGCACAAAACTTGTTTTGGTGCCCCACATCCTGATTATCATTATTATTATTATTTTTATTATTATTAGTAGTAGTATTAGTATTAGTAGTAGTAATAGTAGTAGTATTATATACTTAAAATGTCGGATACAAGGAACCTTGGATTAAGGTTTACTTTTCCTACCTATTTTGATTTTTTGATTCTTTATATGATGATAAAATACAATACCAAAAGTTCAGGAGCTTTAGTGGAAATTTAACACTGAAAATCAAGATGGAGGAGAAAGGTTTGTTTGCATGTGAAAATGCACTTGCTGCCTGAGTGTCTCGCGGTGCCCCAGGGCACTCTCCCTCTCCTTCAGCGTTCTCTTACTAGTGACGCGCCTGCCTAGCCTGATAGCCCTCCGGCACCTTCTGTCCCACGCCCTCGTCCTCACCCTCCTCTCGCCTCTGCAGCCCGACAAACGGCGGCCGCACTTGCTTCGGCAGGAACTATGAGCTGCGCCTCTGCAGCACGGAGGAGTGCGGCAAGCCTCTGGCGGACTTCCGGGAGGAACAGTGCCGGTTGTGGGACCCCTTCTTCGAATACCAAAACAGGAAGCACCACTGGCTTCCGTACGAGCACCCCGACCGTGAGTTTTCTGGCAGAGGGGTAACACGGGGGCCTGAAAGCGCGGATTACACTGAACTCTAAAGCAGGGGCCTCAAACTCAAATTACCCGGGGGCCACCGCCAAGGAGCCGTTCTTCCGAGGGGGGCCAGGCGCGCTATTAACGAAACGAGACGAAAAACGCGACGTAGCGTCTGTTTTACGCTGACATATAAGATAGCTAAATCTATGCAGATCGCTTCGATGGCGAACTACAAAGTGGAATGCGAAAGCTCGGCCTGCAGGCCGCATTTAATAATGAATTAAAAACGTGGTCGACGGGCAAGCAGTTTGAGGCCTCTGCTCCGATGCTCTAAAAATAGGTCTCTTGCCCTTTAAGAAAGCACAGACTTCAAGGAGAGTACAGCGCAGGTGAGAGAATGAGAAACTAAAAAGAGAGCTGAAATGCAGTAAACAGAGCCAAGCGTACAGGCTTAAGTATTTACAATGGCCGAGGCTATTCCCTCCCGTCTCACGGCCCTATCGAATCATCTGGCTTCCTTTCCAGTGTTTTTTTAATCCCTTCTTCTTAATTGGAGCCAGCTGGGCTCCGTCATCCAGAAACTTTCCAAACCTGAACGCCGTGAAAAGCATGAACTGCCGCCCGATCCCCACATACCGCCTTTCCGCTAACTCGCTGGCACTTGGCTGCTTGGCACCTCACGGCCAGATGATTCTCAGATGAAGATCTGGGCCAGCGAGTGTCCTCACTTGTCACAGGATATTCATCACATCCAAGCCTCCTGCGCTTTAACGTAAATACACAGATCGTGTGCTGCCACTTAGAAATGCTGTGTCTTTTTCCTGCAAGAACAAGACGGCCTTTTCATGCACATCTGCCTTTACTCTTCAGTCGAGTACAGCAAGAAATCTGCTGGCTAATTGTTTTTCATATTGGCCTGAATGCACTGGAATTTTGCATCAGACTGTGTACATTTTTTAAAAGGTCGGAAAATTCCGTTGGAGTTTGGAAACACTAATTTTCTAAACTACCAGAGGAATGCGAGCCATTTCTTTTGGAGATGAACACATGGAATTGTAATCTCCCTGTAGGTATAGTACATCTCCCTGTAGGTATAGTACATCTCCCTGTAGGTATAGTACATCTCCCTGTAGGTATAGTACATCTCCCTGTAGGTAT